GCTCAGTGGTCGTTAAGAATTAAATCTACCCTTTGTTTTCTCTCTGGAGGAGACTTGCTTCATTTGCTCTTTTCTCTTGATAAAGGCTGTTTTCTAATGCCTTTGTAGTGGTAGAGATTGAAGGGTGAGAGAAAAATCTGGATACTTTCTTTTCTGGGTCACTTTGCATGAAGAGCTCTTTGCAGCCATGTTCAAATGATTTATGTACATATTGTAGACACAGTAGCAACAATCAGAGCTATTCCTAACATTTAACCTGTTTCATTTTGAGGAGCCATTCCCTGGCTGCTAAACTTAACATCTGCTGCTTTGTTATTCTAATATCCAAATAGGATGAAAAGTCAAAAAGGCAGAAGTGTGATAGAGTTGTTTCTTTCCACTGGTAATGGTGGTAGGGCATGAGTATCTGTTTTTGAGTAGGTACATTTTAAGTTTTAGCTTGTATTATCCAAAAGTATCTGGCTTTTTTACTTTGCTATAACTAGGCCGTGTTTCTTTTCCTTACACTGTTTTCTCTTAACTTAAGAACCAGTCACAAGAAGAAAACATACAGACTTTCATTTTTGTTGTTTCCAAGTCACTTTCAGCCTGCCAGACACATTAATCATATTTGATATTAAACATTGTTCACAATATTTGTGAATTAGTGAAAGTTGACAAATTAAAACCAGTAAAATCAAAATACCTGTGAAATGACTGCAGCTAACAAAATTAGTTTAATTAATGCTCAGTAATTCTAGATCTAATTAGTAGTTGAATCACTGAACCTCTGACTCTTCAGACCATTGATGAGATCAGCGTCCAGTTGACCCAACCACTCCTCCTTTCCCCTGTTCCCCATCACCCTTAGGTTAGGCTCTGATCCAGTCTCTCTGTCTCTTATTCACCAGCCATCCTGCTGCTGCGCCAGCTCGCTGTGGGCCAGCTGTTCCCCCACTGCTAACATCGTCCCCTTCGCTCACTGTTTAGGCCATGTCTCTTCTCCATGGTAACTTTAGACTTTGCATATAGCAAACATCTTCTCACCTCAAGCTTCATAGCTGTGAAACAGTGAACACCAGACTCTTCCTTTTCTGCTTCATCTCCCCCATCACATGCCCAAATCTCCTGTCATCCATCTGCGGAAGATTCCTGAGATTATAGTTCCTAACCTTACCCTTGGTTCTGGGCACTCCCTAAAGTACCATTGTACAAGGAGGAGTCTCCATCTCCTCCAGTTGCTGTCTATAGGTCCTGGAGCCCGGCAGGCTGAGGGTAACCAGTCTTCTCCTGCAGTGGCTCAGCAATCCCTGGGAGACTGTCCAGAAGCAGAGGTAGAAGGCACATGTTTCTTAGAACCTTAGAATGTCCTGGGAACATCCAGAACGTCACTTGTGCAGTCTCTATTGGTTAAGCAAATCACTAAGACTGGCCACAAATAAGGAGAAAAGAAATCAAATTCTGCTTTTTGCTGGAGCACCAGCACTGATACATGGGACATCTTATTGTGAGAGAAAGAGTATCTCTTCTAGATTATAAGAGCCAAAAGTAACAGGATAATTTCCAACAAGACATTTGATAAATGATTTTAATCATAGTAATGACATTTCTGATTTTAAGAAAGCCAAATGTTTTGAAAGTAATTATATTGATTTTACATAAAGTAGATATTCAGCTGACAAAATAATCAAACTTGAGAAAAAGTCGTTGTGTGACCATTTTCCTATAACATACTCAGAACTTTTTATTTTACTTTTTTAAGTTAAAGAGACTCTGGCCTTCTTGGGAACGGTGTGTACTTCATGTTTAGATCCTTAGCAACTGTCTTAGAGCTTGGTACATGGGATCTTACATGTTTATTTTATTGAAATGAATTAATCCAGGATGCTGAGGCTAACCTAGTCAAATTATTGGCTTCCCTGAATGTGGCACGAAGGAACCTGAAATGTAGCCTGACTACGGGTAACTCCTACAGGAGGCACTAGTGTAAATGGCGGCTAATACGCTTCAGGTGGTGATGTCACTACATCTTCCTTTGTGCCATGGAATGTTTGAAGAATCATCCATTTAAAATAAATCTGTGCCTCTACTGCTGCAGAAGCTGGAGAGCAGAATTTTCAGAGGACGTTTTGACAAGCTTTGTCTGTTGTACAGGACCGGAGAACACACAGAGTGATTCTGTGGTGCCCGTGTTCCTTCAGAGATAAACCAAGCTAACAAGAGTCAACTGTGAGCTGAAAGTCTTTACCACACCACAACTTTAATTCAGTAATAAAAACATCCTTTTAATCAAGGATGGAATTTTTTCCTTTAAGCTATGATCTTGTGTTTCTCTGCTAATTCCGAATGTAAAGAATTCTTGGCTGATGAAAGCACTGCATGAGCAGAGACCCCAGATCATTGTATAACGTGAGAGTGTTTGCAGCAATTCTTTTGCCATGTTGCTAACAGAGAGTTCCAGAATTTCGATTGGAGGAATGGAAATATTTTGTAATTTGTTTTAATCCTGGGGCAGCTTTATGAGATTCAAATTACTTCTTAAATAGATTTCTGTTTTTTGTATTAAAAAAAAAGCTGCTTCCAAAAGTCCTATTTATTATGTGTCTGCTCTACTAGGATAATTCATTTAAGTTATTTTAAGCAATCAGAAACATTTGATACCATATCTTTTTATTTAGTAATATTAATTGGCAATTCTTACTGTCAAATTAGAGTATTAAAATAGAAAATACTGCTATATGTTCCCACAATATACTTTCTGTTTCTGGTTTACAGACTTGAAAACTAAAGAATTAGAGATTGTAATATCTCACCAAGGTCATTTCTGACAAGAGTGTATCTGTAGAAATTATTACTATTTCATGATTCATTCTACCACTTTCTAGATATTTCTAACTCTTACGACTACTTTTTAATATTTTTCCATGTTAGCGAATGCAACAAGCGCATATCTTTCATAGAATAATTTTATAGATGTAATGAGTCTTCCCATTAGAGACTCATTGCTTAGCTGGTCATTTGTCCTAACTGCTGGCTATTTTTTGCTCATTTTATTTTTATTTATGGTTTTTACAAAAATGTTACATTATTTATTTGTGCACATACACACACACACACACACACACACACACACAGTCAATTTGCACATAGGTAGTTAATTTTTGAGTCCCACACCCTTTGTCCCCTCACCGCCATCACCTCTTGAGAACTTGAGGGGAGCTTGGTTTTCTGCTGATTCTTTCCTTCCATTTGGCGACCATTTTATTTCTCTGTTTTGAAGTGATGCAGTGAGAGAAAAATGGCTGCCTTTTGTTTATTTCCTTGTACATTAGCATGGTGACGTCATCAAAGATACTAACTACAACGTACATGTCTGTAGATGCCCAGAAGTAAGACATAAGCTAGGAACACTTCATTTTCATTTTTCTTTTAATGCCCAAGGGTTTTGCAGCTTTATCGTAGCTCTCATGTGCAGAGGAAAAAAAGGAACATGAGCATTTTGGAACAAATGCATTAAAATGGTGACATTTAAAACATATTTAAATATTGGTTTTAATGCTAAGAAAAACGTGCTATATAAGTCATGAAACATTCTAGGCCAATGCTAACTCTCCAGATAGTATCATAAAGGAAAATGTTATGACACAATATTTAAAGACTGGGCTACTTAAGCACATTTGCCTATGCATGATTTTTTTTTTAAGTTTTCAATTGACAAAAAGTTTATCTTACAATGCTTTTCCATAAATTAGTTTCTTATTAATTGATGGCTTAAATAAATTTGTATGTGTGTATATGTAAAAATGCACATATATAATATATATATTCTTTCTAAGATTATTGAAGTACTCACAAGCACTATTAAAATGTACTGCATATCTAACTACGGAGGAAAATTTATTTTCTGATGATTTCTTATGACATTTTGGTTTTCTTTTCATGCTCTTTGTTGTACTTTGCAGGGATTGTCCTAAGATTTTCACTGAGACAAACAGCAAGCTTTGAAAGAACAATTCAATTCAGACAGATTATTAAAGCAATAAGAAATAGAAATTTTCATTAAATTCCAATAATTAATTTGATGAAAATTAAAAAAAAAATTGGAAAGCCATCCTCCATTTTCCATTTCAGAATAATTTTAAGTAATATGAAAATATTTTAGGAAGTCATTGGTCCGACCCTTCATACATGTAAGCACCTACACACGAATGTCCATGCATCAGAAAATTTCTGTAACTGCTGAAGAGTCCTTCCTGCAACTACTTGTTAGCACTGCAATCAGATAAGGTAAACCATATGCTTTATTGTGGCGAGCTGTCTAAAATAAGTTGGTGCAATTTTAAGAATTAATATGAACCATATGTCCTTTAGATCTGTAGCTTGGAATCTTCATTGTTCTTTTAAGGCAGCTGTTCTAGGAATGTGTCATCTTTAGAGAAAATAAATTAATCATCCACCTCATTTGTATACATCAGTACAAGAGAGTCATTTTCATCTACCTTGCTAGAAGAAATTCATATTTTTATTCTTTTTGATAATAAATAGCATGTTTTGGTGATTGAGATTTTCACTGGGGAGCTTTGGGGGAAAGAGCACTCCTTTTAAGAAAAATGAAAAAAAGAAGAGGAAGAAAATGCCAGCAGTCAAAAGGTTAAAACGTAATGTCCTGTATTAGAGCAAAGACTCTTTAATGACATTTGGACAAGAGCACTAGGAGAAAGCTTAAGGTAGGAAATGGCTTTTTGCAAGTTCCCCTTCCAGAAATTGTTTTTCAGCCTCCTACTAAAATAAAATCAGTTAACTTTTTTGAATGCTTGTGCGAACATTTTTCGATACTAATACAAAATCCTGTGCTGGGATTTCCATAAGTTGTGCTACATTAATGACTAAGAGCAGCTCCCTACTCTGTTATTCCGTCTGCCTAGTAGAGCTCAGCTGATAAAAATATCCAGAAACTCAGTGAAGTCAGTGGCACGCTGGGCTTTCGCAGACAAAACTCCATGTGATCACACGCAGGCAGCCTCCGTGAGCCTGACGCCGTGCACTAGCAGCAGGTAATGAGGCTTTGTGCAGAGTGGAGCTCTTCTCGCTGAACAATAAAGCATATGGTACCAGCAATAAAACACAGGGCCGGGAGATTCGGGAAGATTCCGCTGAACCAGGAAGACTGGTGCCTTCTGTGATGCTGACACACACTGTAAAATGATAACCAATTTATTTGGGATCCTAATGAATAAAGAGTACAAGGATTAAGACTACAGCTATTTGAACAGGTCGGTGATTTTGTGAATTCCTCCAACACTTCCTTGTGTTTGATTGAATTTAAATTAGCATGAGCTGATGTGTGTTTTGCCTTAAACAAAAACTTTTCTGGATATCTATAGTGTGTAATACCAAGGATGCACTTGAATTGACCCAGCATGATCAGATTTTTTTCATGCAGTCAGCTACAGCAGAGAAATCTTGATTTCATTATATTAAGCTGAAAAGTTATTCATTCTATTTAGAAATGTGTGGGCAAGAAGGAATTCATCCAGCAATTTCTAATCTGTGTATGCAGAAATAATATAAAGCAGAATAGTACTAATAAATAGCTCAAGTGAAAAGCTTCAAATGAATATCTACCAGCATGAAAAATTCTGTTTTACCATAGTTTGTCTTATAAATTAGATCAATCCTCAAAATGTATTGATGTCTTTAGTATGCTGCAAACAGGATTAAAATACTTAAGTAAAAATTTTAAAGTAAGAAAATATTGAAATAATTTTTAAGTGTAATTATATTAATATTTATTTATATTAATTGTATAGGCTTTTATTTTTCGTGTTTCATTTGACAAATGGACATGAGTATTACATAAAACCATTTCTTTCGAAGACATTAATTCACATATGAAAAAAACAAATTAGCTTAATTTTAAAAACAGGAATGGACCAATTATGTAATGATGCATATTTCCATTGGCTCATTATTTAAAAGGAGGGAATACATGCCTTCATGTATATGCGTAAAAATATGTACACCCAGGACCTTTTTTTAATCTAGAAAATAGCCACTTACGTTCAGGAGCAATATACAAGTTTCCGTATGAAAGAGATTGCTGTGTGTAGGAAACCAAGCGAAGAAATAACTAGCAAGTACTAGCACAGCACTGAATGTCTTTGCCAAAGACAGACAAGCATTACTGCTATATGTGTCTTTAAATATATAGGTTAACTTTGCTCTACGTTTTTACTGCTGTGTTATTTTAAAAGTGTCTTGGGACCTAAATTCTTTGCCATTAATTTCTGGACACCACTTAGGATGATAGTCTCTAAGGCACTAGGGCACATTTAACATTTTCCAGAATGACTATAGTGACTTTATGTTTTTGTGTAGCGCCTAATATAAATTTATGACCGCAAGATGCTGTCTAAATCACCGCAACAAAAGATAGAGCCATGTGACTGATCGTATGTACCATGCATATTTAATAGTTTTTAAAAGCCGTGTGTCTCCAAAACAAGAGAAGTTAATGAAAATTTTAAATTGGCCTTCCGCATGTATTTAGATGAAGTATTTGACTATTTGGGTTTCCTTGGTTACCATCGTCGCTGCTGCAGACGGCTGCGTTCGGTGGGGATGGGGTAAACGGTGAGAACAGGACTGCGAAACAAACGTTGGAATTATGTATCCATTAATAGTGCGGGGGAATGTCAGCCCGCGCCGCCGGTGCCGCTCCCCGCCGCGCAGCCCCGCTCCCGGGATTCAGGTGCCCCGGCAGCGAGCACTGCGGCTGCACAATTCCTTACCCAGCATTCCGTTTCGGCTGCTGGAGCCCTGCCTGCGCCTTATGCAAATGAGACCAGCTCCCCGGCTGAGACTGCAGAAGCAGGGGAGGGGGGCAGAAGGGAGTTCAAAGGTCACCGAGCTGGTGGAGAGCTGGCTCGGATGCCTGAAAAAAATGTATCCTGGGCTTCTCTGCAGCAGTGTCTTGCAGCAGCTCAATGAAGCCTGCTGCATTTCCGAGAGCGAAGATTTTGCAGCGTGTGTGTCGTAGCCACTTAAAGTGCGTGCAGGTACGGTGAGATTTCCCGATGCGCCTGGGTTTATTTCCATCAAAGACGCTGATGGGGATTGGCTCTTTAAATTCATTGTGGCAACCGGCAGGGTATTTATGGTTTTCAGGCTTTCCTTAACTGTTAACATTTTTTTTTCTTTAATGTTTTCTCTATTTAAAACTTTTGGTTTTTGTTCCGACCGAATGATGTCATGTGAGAAAAAAATGGGGTTTGGACCTACAGATAATTTCATTTTCTGAGTAAGGTTTTGGTTGTAGACAGCTATACGTGTGAAATGTTGAGATAAACGTCCACTTCCATCTCCTCAGATATTTTAGGAAATGTGTTTGCAATCAGAACTGAGTTTGTAGCCCAAGAGTCTGATGAGGTATCTGGAATTAAATAATGGAGTTCTTTTGTTCATATCCCATATAATACGATAACGATAGTTTCAGCAAGTTTTACTTCTAAAAGAGCATTTTTTGTTTTGAGAGTTTTTGTTCTATAGTTTACTGCTATCTATCTTATCAGAGAAATAATTTCTGACTTTTGGATTAGAGCCTTTAAATCCTCAGATGTTGCTGATTGTCATTCTCTTTGGGACTTCAGACAATGCTGTTTGAATTCAGCATGTTCAACTTCCTACGACTTTTCCTTTCAGTTACATCTGGGTTGGAAAGCGATCCTCAGAAATGTCACAGGCAGGACAAAAGTCTGTTTTGTTTCCAGCTCCTAAATATCACACTTTAGTAAAACGTGAGATTACATCATAGTAAAGTCTGGCCTGCACCAAACAAATGTATGCTCATTTTTGTGGTCCATATTGCCTTTCAGTTTCCAAAACATTCTAAGATAAATTTATAGTAGCACAATGCAAAGGCTTATTCATATCATTAAATATTTAAATGTATTAAGTCAGCAGTTGCAATGTTGATTAGAAAAAAAAATGTTGCTTATATTTGCATTCACTGTAAATCCGTCTGTATTACATCAAATATGTTGGAAAAGATGAAAAGACAAACAGCATTTAGTTATGAAATTACTTCTTTGTTGCTTTTATATTTGCCTAAGATATTTAAAAACAAATTTTGTGATGGTTACATGTAAATAACTGGTATATATTTAGATAAAATTTATTATTTTCTTTGCCCTCGAAAAGGAATGTTAATTTTATTGTAATGATTATGATGTGTTAGTTTGGCAACAATATCTTTTATTCAAGGGAAGGAAGGGGGGGCCGAGGGGGAACCAAAACAGGAAGATGGCCATTCAAAACAGTAAAGGGCAATCATTTCAAATATTTATAAAATTCATTTTCTAGTCGTTATTCATTGCCAAATTATTGGCCTTTATCACTCTGTGGGGACATTATGACATTTGACCAGGATCCTGAGATTAATTTAGGTTAAAGGAATTTATGCTTTGTGTGTCTAAAGAAACATAAATACTGCCATTTCCCTTAAACACTTTTTCTTTTAAAACTTTCAAAGATTTCAAGCTAATGGAATATATTTTAAGTTAGTTGTTTATTATTTGATCAGAATATACTGACTTCTGGTCTAAACAATATTTGCATATTTCTGCATATATATATAATATTACATATGTGATGCATGTTAAAACAGTCACATAAAATGATTCATATTGTTCAATCATATTTAATCTAACAATTTTTAATTGACAATTCTTCTACCTTTAGCCCAAGGTGGAGCCTGTGGTTTGTGGCTAGTGACCTCTGCGTGTGCTGGAGGTGGAGGGAGGGAAGAACTGAGGTTAATATTCATTCTGGCAGTCAGGCACTTTTAACTTTGCAAATGCAACTGCTGCCAGGAAGCACATTCTGAATATAGAAATAAAAACAGAGGGCAAGGCATAAAGGAGAGCTCATGAAGCTTCTTGGAGAAAACGTGATAATAGATAAATGTGAAATAAAGGGAATTGTTGTGCTTCTGTGAGCCACAAGAGAGCTCTATATGTCCTGCAGCTAATTTATGGCTTTGAATATCCTAGATAATTTATGTCTCTATGCAAATTCACACAAAACTTTGAAGTCTTTTTGCATTACGTTGATCCATGCTACTTCCATACAAATCTCAGCAGCTTGTTCCTAGGAAGCTCATGGTCTGGGTATCTAAATATATATAAAAAATGTATTTATGTAAATACAATTCAAATCAAATTGAAGAGTAAAAGCATAAATAGAGTAATCTAAAAAGAAATACTTGGGGATAGGCAGTTAGTGTACTTAAAGAAATAGTGTTATATCAGACTTCAGAGGAATCTTGAAGGATTTTTTCAAAACTGAATTCCTGCTTTCTGATTACCGGTCTGTCTTTGTCATCATTTAAAACTAGGGACCATATTGTAAGCTTGGAAAAGATTTTAAGGCAAACATGTTGTTCTCAGTCTAGCAGTATGGATCTTAGTCTAAATTCTGCAAATAACTGTTGTCATCTCAAAAATCTTGTGTGTAGGTTGTAAGTTTTGTTTTAGCTATCCTTGTCCTTCTCCAGAACTTCTGAAGCCTATGAAATAGAAAGAAGAACCAAATGATTTGTAGCATACACAAAACAGGAAAATCCTCAATATAATTATTGGCTATTCAAAACAATCACATAATTTTAACATTGCATTTCTTAGAAACACTCCAAGTAAACAGTTGCCTTTTGATTACCTAGTCTAGAATTGAAATGAAATTATATCAATATTGTCAAAAATAAAATCATGATAAAACTATAAAATTATTTGAAAGATCTTATTAGACTTCTAAGACCTATAGAAATGCTGCAATGATATTTTATCTAGTACAGTTGGAAAAGTCTATGTAACATGAACTGATTTTTCACGTAGCTAAAGTTTATGACACTAATAATCATTTTTCTGTCTTGTTGAAAAAATGGAAATCAACATAGGGCCTTCAGTGACATCAGAATCATTGTCTCCACTCTTGTATTTACAAAGGACAGAACTGCACCCCAACTATTTCTCCACACCAAAAAGCCTCTTAGTATATTATGCTTTCATGTGTCATTCTATATGTGTCTTAGAAGTTTACTGTGTTCTTTATCATGTTATTAGTTATTAATTTTAACATAGTACTTGCTTCTTGTGTGAGAGGAATTTAAATTTGGGTTTTTTAATTTTTAATTTTTTATGTATTTAGTACCGGGTCGACAGGGTCTCACTACATAGATTGGACTCCTAGTGATTCACCCATTTGCAGCCTCCCAAGT